ACCGACTGACAGTTAGACGCTATTAGTTATACCGACACATGTTTTGTTACAAGCTTTTGCCGACCAATAGTTTAACAGTATATACATCTATCCCTACGAATTGACATGATTATATACAATTAATATACACTAACTGTATAATTTCAAGCATGTTCAACATCCATAACATTACTCATCAACACACCATAATCCATAGCAGTTCACATTAGCCATCAAGAACATAATTTAGATAATCATATCTCAAGTTTTCATTGAAGCCAAGATTTGCACTTGGGCATCTTTACAGAAGAAAAGTACACAGGCAACCTAGCTATCTAGGTCAAATGGCAATCACAAGTCAAATGTAGCTTACATAATCTAATTAAGTTCACTACAAAACGACTCATCTCCAATTACTAAAAAACACAATATCATTGGTGAGCCTTCAATTGATCTCCATGCTATTGACATTATCTGACATCTCACAACCTCTAGGTCCTCCCACTTGAACAAATTCAAGGTCACATTTGTTACTAAAACTTTTATAGATTTTTCAGGATACTTTTCTCGATTTCCTAGAGCTAAATATATATATTTTAAAGTTTCTATAGATATTATCACAAACTCTATTTTTTTGGATTTTTTATCCTAAGATATCTCTAGTACTTATTTTCTAAAAGTTATAAAAATTTAGAGACATTTTTTATGGTTCAAAACACTATCGCTTATTTAAAAAGACAAATTTCCCTTCAAAACTACTTGATACCACGCGAGGAGATAGTTCGAAAAGTTTTGAGAGTTCATGGGTATGATATCTAGTTTTACAGTTCAAGGAAGAAAGTCATACCACAAAGATAAAACAGACCTTTTTTTTTCCACCGGACAAACCACAATGCAACCCAACAGCAGAGCCTGCTCTCTCCCTCTTATCTTTCGAACTACTGGATTCAGGCGCTTTGCCGGGTGCCGAATGCACCCGGCAAAGGCTACTTTGCACTCGGCAAAGCCTACTTTGCACTCGGCAAATTTTTTTGCTCCCGGCAAATCAGCCGTTTCCTGTTGTGTCTCATGCCTGTTTGATCCATGTAGCTTAGCTTGTTTCCTCTGTTTCATCCATTAGGGCGTCCGAAGTGTGGGAAATAAGAACTCTTAAGGAAGAGGTGGTGTTCATGATGCCAGTATTATACACAAGCGTGTCGATCCTAAGCAAAAAAAAAACTTAGGGACCGATAATCGGATATTAAGTTTTATATTTCTTACTCAAATGGATTATTCCGCAAGCACAGAATTATCGATGCAGCACTAGTGATATCCATTTCGCCATTCTTCCATGAGTGTATATCATCTGCAGGTGGTATCCAAGTTTCATCGCGGTAGCAGATGGAGCGGTGAAAGGAGGCAAGCGCGCCCAAGTCAAAAGAAGGGGCGAAGTGAGCAGTGGCGGAACCAGCTAAATCATAAAGCGGGGGCCAGACAAATTTAGGAACCATTATTTCCTACTTGAATTAGCATACAAACCGAATTAAAAATTTCCATGATTATCATAGCAAATTAGCGATTCAAAAAATAGGAATCGTTTGCACCTAGAGACTTGCTCCTGCTCGGCTGCTCCTGTTGTTGATAGTCCTACGGTGTTACAGCAACCAGCCAAGTTCGGCGGTTCCGCACCGACTAAGCAAGCCATGACACAGTGACGGCCTGACGGGACGGCGCTACGCCTCGAGCCCTCGACCGTCGTCTCGTCCACTCGTCAGCACCATCCTCCATGTGGAGAACCGGAGAAGCCGCCCGTAAGGTCACAGATGCGCTGTGGCCCGATGCTTGGGAGTCTAAAGACGTTTCCCTTCCATGATACGATCCGTGACCCCTTCTCTTCTATGCTGGGCTGGGCCACCGATGATGAGCAGGGGTCTAAAACAATTTTGGACGATTGGGGGGCGACCCTTGCCACCCCCGTAGTTCCGCCACAGGAAAATGAGGGAGGCCGGTTGAGGACCGAAAGCGCAGTCCGCGGAGGCTGAAGGCAGCTCGACCTAGGTTGTCCCCTCCTGGTGTCACGGGCAACCAGGAGTTAACCAAGGATGGTAACGACCAGGGGCGGTGGTGACCGCTGGTCTAAATTGCCCTGAATCTGTTGGGATATGCTCCGAATCTAGAGCAGTTTGGCCTTGTGTAAAGCCTACGGGCATGTATAAATATGACCCTCGGGGGTCGCTGTTAAAGGAGGATGAGGAAACCAATTGTCCGTTGACTCACTTCGACATTCCCTTTTTGTCACATCTTCGCTACACTCCCTTCGTGGGTTCTCGCTAGCTTAGTAATCACCTGGTATTCGAAGGCTTAGGCCGAGAACAACAGGTATGAAATATATTATGCCAAATTAAAAAAACGGGTCCAAAACGATTTAGATGTTATCCTGACCATTTTCTACTTTTTTAGTTTTTATTCGGGATACCCTGTTTTTGAAATACAGTATATACCGTTTTTGGCCCACTAAGTCCAACTCAACTAGAGCAAGTCAGAATCTTAGAAAAATTGTATTTTTTCATACGATCTAGGATGAATATGATTTTTAGATGAAAAATATAGTTCTCGACGAGTTCTACAACTTTGTAGTTTTAAGTTTTTTCATTTGAGGTCGCTTAAGATGATAAAAAAGTTAAACAAAGTTTCAGCAGTATATATATTAATCGCATACAAGCGTTTGTCTCCTTACAAAAATCATATCTTTCTTATACAGTGTCAAATGGAGATACTTTTTATATGAAAGTTGTAGCACATGTTAATTGTTATGCACTTGGTCATGCACTTATTAATTGTTATGCCATTGGTCCTACAGGTCGGTCTTCCGTATTGATCTTTCGTGTACCGACCGTGTTCGACATAATTCTGCTTGAATGAGTTCGTTTTCAAAATTCTCGATATTCCGTAAGTTTGTATTTGTTTTCGTGTCTGGCTTTATCGCTTTCACTTTCGTTTTCCTATTCAAATGTAGAAGTAGAAAACAGTTGAGGAGGTTTCCGACCATTTCCGTCTTCCGTCCGTTTTCATCTCTATTCTCTTCTATATTTACTTTATCAGACTCTTCCAAAAAAACTACACCCCAAAGACACTACTACACTAGGTCCCTTTGCAAAAAGGGACTTATAAAAACCTTTGGTCATGAACATGTCCACTAGGGCCTTCTAAGTGATCTATTGTTTTCTTTTTACTTCTTTTATTTGCTACAACATGGGAATATGCTGTATTCCAATGTCCTTCCAGAATCTCTCTATCTCTATACCTCGGCCTAATTTTAATTTCTTGCATTCTCCAAAACTTAGCCAACTCTGATTCTAAAACCCCCGTCCTGCCCAATTTGCACTCGGCAAAGGCTTTGTCGAGTGCTGCACTCGGCAAAAAATGGGCCGGCAAAGGCATCTTTACCGAGTGTCTTTTGTCGGGTAATCGGCAAAGCCTTTGCCGAGTGCCCTCGGCAAAGTTGAAACCGAAAAAAACCCGAAAAAAATGGGAATTTTTTTAATCGGTGGAGGCCCCCACCGGCCAGCGCCCACCCATCTCCGGCATTTTTCGCGTAAAATTCGTGGCTACGAGGTCGGCGGGATTCGAACCGACGACCTTTCCCTCGCGCGTCCCCTCCTCTAACCACTGTACCACACTGCCACCTATGTCTAGATTTCGTTTTGGTTTCCCACATATTATACTAAACCGAGTGTAAATTGCTTGTTTGAGGCCCTAAACAAATTCAAATAAAAAAAGTTGTAAACTACAAAGTTTCATAACTTCTCGAGATCTACACTTTTAGTTTAGGAAGTTTTTCCATCCGAGGTCGTTTACAAAATTTGAATTTCAAAATTTTGAAATTCAAACGCAGTTTTGCATGACAAGATGATTTCAAATCAAAAAGTTGTCAACTACAATGTTTCATAACTTTTCAAGATCTACAGAGTTTATTTTGGTTGTTTTTCCATCCGAGATCGGTTGAAAAGTTCGAATTTTAAATTTTTGAAATTCAAACACAGTTTTACATGACAAGATGATTTCAAATAAAAAAGTTGCCAATTACAAAGTTTCATAACTTTTCGAGATCTACAAAGTTTATTTTGGTTGTTTGATCATCTGTTCATCCGACATGGTCGTTCTAACATTGTTCACAAATCTTATATATCTCTCTTGTAGTTTCATAAACTACAAGAGAGATATGTTAGATTTATGAATAAATTTACTTTCACTTTGTCATATGAAAAAAAGACCAAAACAAACATCGTACATCTTGATGAGTTATACAACTTTGTAGTTGAAAACTTTTTCATTTGAATTAATTTACTGCTTCAAAATGTGCTTTGAAATTTTCTTTGCCTAGTGTAAAAAAACACTCGGTAAAGAAGCTTCTTTGCCGAGTGTCAAAAAAAACACTCGGCAAAGAAGCTTCGCACTCGGCAAAGAAGCTCTTTGCCGAGTGCAAAAAAAACACTCGGCAATCCACTTGGCACTCGGTAAAGAGCCGGTCTCCGGTTGTGCCTCTCTGGTTCTGAAACAATCAGACTTCTGAATTCAGCCAACTCTTCAAACCTACCATACTCTCTTGACAACTGAACCTTCTACTTATTCATTTTAGCAATCTGGTTAGAACCCAGCCTCTAACTAACCTTCTGAAAGTTCTAACTCTAAATTGCCAAATATCCATACTCTTCTTAGCATAGCAAGGAGTTTCCCAAGCTTTCTCCACTACTTTCCCAAAAGACTATTTGTAACTCAAATCTAAATCTCTTATTAAAGTAAAGGTCTGGGTTGTCGTTTGATTTTTTTTTTTTAAGAAAAGTAGTATTTTCCTCAGTATGTGATCATAGTGTGATATGGACAAGTATTGTAGATGGAAGGAGCATGGAATCACAATCATTTTCGTTTTGGAAAAAACTAGATCATTTTGGAACAGATACAATACTACTTAGCTCATTGCGAAAAAACAACAAAAATGGATACACGCCGGTTATTTAGAAGTCAGGCTTCCATGGCATCAATCAATCCTCCCAATTGCTCGTGGTCTTGAGTGGACATCTGGGCACATCGAGCTGTACAAGAGCAGCCTCTATTGTCGCTTTTAATTGAGCACCACCCATTTCTTCAATCTGCATATCAAAAACACTTCTATGTTAGCCATCAAAAAAACACTTCTATGTTTCAGAAAAAACAGCTTGCACGACAACTAATATTGGCATCAGTATAGATTCAGCATAGATGTGCTGTGGTTTTTTATCTCCGTTGAAATTGATAATTGCAATCGTCTTTGTTTCCCACTAGAAGATTACCGCCATAATATTATGTCTAAACATAATCTCCAGCTAGCCAGAGCCTGTCTTGAAAGACCCAACTGGTGTACGGAAATCCGTTGTGCTTCACTTAGGGCCCGTTTGGTATACTAGAGCAGTTCCAATTTTGCCTTGAAACATAAGAATCGCTGTCAAACAAAAAAAAAGTATAGTGTTTCGTTCTAGAAACAGGAAGGAACGATTCTGCTTTTGACACTACATGGATGAATTGACTCAAACTTGGTATCGCACTAGAAACGTATCAATGCTTCCTTATTAGCCCGCTCTACCCTGTGACCACCCTCTGCTTCTCACAGTCCAGCGGTGGCGGCCTTTTCTAAGCTCTAGTCCGTGGCCATGGAGGCACACCCATGACCTAGCGGTGGTAGCCTTCTACGAGCTCCCGTCTGTAGCCTTGGAGGCACACCATCGGTTTCCACCTCCAGCTCCGCCCCCTTCGGATCCCACTCCTCTCAGATAGAATGGTTTTTGTACGTCTCCATTCCCACACGGGCTTGGCCCTAGAGAAGTTCAAGGGACAGAGAAATAGCAACAATGGCAGACATTCCACTTATGACCGTGTGCACGCCGAAGGAGAAGAAATGTGAAGTGCCATGTGCACGCCAGAGGAGAAGAAACGTGAAGTAACACCTTCTCCCACATTATAGGTCGTTTTGGCTTTTCTACATACATAACTTTTGCTACGCACCTAGATAAACAATATGTCTACATACCTAATAAAAGTTATGTATCTAGAAAAGCCAAAACATATATGAGCACATCCACTAAATTTTGCGACAGGCAGGAACTGGAGAAAAATGTTCAATTTAACATAGGCAGCTATATTTGTCATTTTAATTACTGTCATGTTTTTTGAGAATTAGAATCCAACGTACAAACCAAACAGTTCACAAAGTAATTTTGATTCTAGGAGAAATGTTTCCAATGTTAAACTGAATCTGAAGCGTTTCTAGAAGAATCTAGAACACTACCAAACGGTCATTTGTCCTCCCTATGCTTCAAATATAGTCAAAACTAAGGTTGATGTACATGGTACCCTATCTCGCCTTCCTATGTCTATAGCAACTCCTTGCTGTTGGACCTAGAGGTGCAAGATTTAATTTTACAAGTTATCTGCATAACTTGTAAAAAATTAAACTATTTACGAGTTCGTGAATCGTCTTGCATCCGTGACTAGATCCACTTCCACCCCTCCCCTTCAATCTGTTGTAGCAAACAACTTTATCCACCCATTTCTCGTCTCCTTGACAGTGATAGCTGAATCCGTGTGACTCGAAATGATGGTAGTTTCACAAACCTGATGTGCAGCAAATGCGATCAAGGCATCTTATTAAATTCAACTAAATTCTCAAATAACAGCTAAATATCTCCTTGTTTGTTAATTAAATAGTTTTAACTATACACAATAAATAGGCAAAGTTAAAAAGGTTTGATTTGAAACAAAGGACACCTCAATTTTGGAACGGACAGTGTAGAACTCCATAGAGTAACTTACAAAAGTGGTAAATCCCCCTATCTCGCACTTCATATCTTTTGTTCTTGCAAGTCACGTCTCACGACCCATCGGTCATCCCAGAAGTGAAGATTTAATTGAAGACAGTACTATTAAAGAGACCGCGAATTTATATGGAAATATATCGTGTGTGAATGTGGGTGTGAGTCAGAGTTTAATTTATAGTCCTACCATGACAAATGAATACAATATTGACACGTGGCGGTCACACGTTTTTGGCTAAATCTAGAGAATTTCTATAAAAAATATCAATAACCAGAAGAACGTCCCGCGCGTTGCTGCGAAAATCGCTGGTGCAATTATACTACTTATATTTACTAATATGATTGAATAAATATTATAATACATGTTAGTGGATGATTTTTAGCATTCTGATGTAGACAACTAAATATATGTTAGTAAATGATGTGGTTTGCTAATGTAAATAGCTTGAATGAAGACATAATGGCATGTGTTAGTTGGATGTGTTAGTGGATGCTGATGTGGACATTTTGTATGGCAAGATAAATTGCTAGTGGGGTTTATTTTTATAAGAGATATAGTAGATTGCCCAACGTTTGTTGACACCTATGATTGTTTTAAGCTAAACTATCTCAAATTGAACCAAAATATACAAAAAAAAAACAATATAAATATTTATATGATACCAAATAACTATTATTAGCTTCAATATAGAATACATTTTCTTTAATATCTGTATTTGGAGTCAAAATGTTGAAATTATGTTCTATAAGTTTGGTAAAACGCAAGATATTTTTATACATGGGACAAAAATAGGATTGATTTTTTCTATGGACAAGATGCAACGAACATTTGAAACAAACATTCGGATTCACACCGTGTCTGGACGAGCCCTCCAACAAAAGCGGCCGCCAACGGAACAGAGAAAAAAAATGTAGACAAAGACGAGAAGCAGTTCAACTGGCTTGGTAAAGTAAAAATGGCAGTAAAACGCTAGTTCCCCAGAAAAAAAAGGTGATCAACTCAAGTCTCAAGGGTAGGTCTGCCTGCCCCCATCCCCCGAATAATGCTAATGACAACGACAATAGAGAAATTAAGCACGCTCTTGATAGAGAAAGAGAAACCCCCGGTAGCCCGGAACGTTGACGTCACACCGGCTGACGTCATCCGCCGAGGACATGGCATACAGAGAAGGGAAAGCGATGCATGTGACCGATCTGAGTGCGGACGTGTGGCATGGCAACAACACTACAATTATTGGGTGAATAAAGCACGACTGCCCGTACGTTTACCTCGACGAACATGGTGTGGACGATGGTGTCGCCGGCGGCAGCGATGCTGGCTGTGACGACCCCGAGGCGCAGCGGCTCCAGCGCCCGGCAAATCTTGCCGACGGCGTCCCTTGCTCTGCTGCACCGGAGCCTCACCACCGCCACCTTCTCCCCTGCCGCCTCCGACACCTGCACCTGCAAATGCGTATTCAATCGTGATGTGGCGGCAGACAGCTCAGTACCTTGCTGCTAAGTGTCGGCAAGTTTCGGTTGTCTTGGTCGATCTCAGTTTATTTAATTACCTCGAGGATCTGGAGTGGCGGTGAGGTGTCGATGGAAAGGGGAAGGCCATCGTCGGACGCCGCCATTCTCATCCTTTTCCTCCACGGGTTGCTGTCGTCGCCACAGTCGTTCGTTGCCTGGCCGATCGCGGCATCCTCCGTCTCGACGGCGGCACCAGCGGTGGTGTCGTCAGAGGAGCGGAGAGCGGATATCTCGGCGAGCATCCGGCGCTCCTGCTCCTGCAGCTGCTCGATATAGGCGATGGCGTCCCTGATGATGGTCGACTTGTCCATCTGCAGCAACGTCACGTACGCAACAAATTAAAACTTAAAAGGCACTGCAGGTGCTCATCTCCCCGTCCATGTATCATGGCTGTGGAGTGTGGACTACGTATATACGTACTCACCCACCTTGGTGATGTTTGGGACGACGCTGCGGAGCGCGTAGAGCTTCTCGTTGAGCTTCCTGCGGCGGTTCCTCTCCCAGACTACGTTTTTGGTCGTCGCCGCTTCCGGTGGCGGCGGCGGCGACGACGGTGATGACGCCACCGCCTGCTGCGTTAAGCAGGATTTGGCGCCGTCAGGCGAGCTCGAGTCCTCACCGCAGGAGAGGTACTGGCCGGTGGTAATTGACTCAGCCTCGTTCGGCACGTACATGATGCTAGAGCAGCTAGCCAAGAGGCCATGCAGTCAGATCACTACTGTTCTCTCCCTGGCCCGGCTGCCCTCAAGAACACGAACGAACAGAGAGGTGGGTCATCTACATATACGTACCTGTCGACGACGCCTAGGTCCTGGGGCTCGTCGTCGAAGAAGCAAGGCGGTGGCTGCAAGTAGAAGTCAAAGCCGAGGCTCATCAAGTCTGCCTCCATTAGCACGGCTTAAGAAGCAGGACACCACTCTCCGTCCTTCTTACAGCCTGTTGGTGTTTGTATTTGTTTGCGATGTACCAAGTGGGGAAGCTTTGGCCTATCACTTGCTTGCTGTTTCCTCTTGAGCACAGCTTACTCGCACTTGCACTTGAGTGGGTCACTAAATTGAGGCTGCCACCTGTGGGCTTGTGGCTAAGCATGGAGTGGAATAATATGTGGATGAGATCGTGTGTCCTGTCTGCTGTAGATGCAAAGAAATAAAGCGCCGGGTGTGTGGTAGTGGAGCTGCAGCTGGCGCAGCAGATGCGATGTGGATGTGTGCTCACGAGGCTGGACCGGACGGACGGACGGATGCACGTCCCGGAAAACTGCGACCACCCTATACTAATACCTCTGTGCGTGCCGCTTTCGCCGGCTGCATATGTCCCGCGCCGTGCTATGTTGCCCTCGTCGATCTGGGAAGAAAATTGTATGCGACGGCGTCGCACGCCGCTCCCGCTGCGACACCGCGAAGAAGGACCACGCATGTCCCGCTGGACCACCAGGCGAGACGGCCCGTCGTCAGCGTGAGTTGAGCAGACGAGCCGAGTCTGCGGTTTTTTTTGAAGCCAGCTCGATCCAAAATCACGTAAAGCTGCTACTCTCGTCCATTGAAATCCTCGAGTGCTGCGCTAGTCCATCAAGGGCGAGAGGCTAGCGGCACGGGCAAGTCGTCGAGTTTTGCGCCTGCACTAGCGTCCGTCGACCGGTGAACGGCAGCGGCTACAGCGATCATCCGCCTTCTTCCCCCTCTCTGTCTTTGTACCTAGTCCAGAAGCACGTTTCAGAGATCAATTACCGTGTGTTTGGTTTGGCAACCAAGTGGGTTAACCTAGTTTTTTTTGGGATGGGATGAACCAATTTCATGTTTAGCTTGAGGGTTGGAGCCCTTCCAGTCCTTTGTTTAGTATAAGGGATTAAGTGGGTTGAAATGGATGGTACTGTAAAATCGGTCACTGACAGCGATATGTCTCCTTCCACCTACCGTCTTGACGTACGGCACGCCCCGGCGGCCCTACAACGCCACCGTGCTGCCCTGCTCCGCCCCGGCTGCCGGCGCGCCCTAGGGGACCGCCACACCACACTGCCCCAACGCCCCGACACCCCTTCTTCTTCCTGTTGACGATAGTTAACAACCATTATAAACCGTCAATATAACATGTATAAGGGCATAAATATAATCACAGATGAATGTTTATGGGTTCAAACTAACAAATTTCACGAGTTTTGGTGAATCTGTATTTTCTGCAGGGTTTATTCGGAAAACCGTCAAGGTGAACCTACATGTCAGATTTCATTGAGCTTATCTAGAAGACTCTAAAAGACTCGGGAGGACTCCGCACCGAAGCGGAGGGTGAGACGCCGCCAGGTACCTGTAAGCCGCCCGGCCCCTAGGGCCCACCTGTCAACCCCTTGTTGTTATGTCGGTTCTCCACCGCCTCCTATGTTGCATCTACGCCGTCCTTTAAGTCGGGCTGTTCCAAGGGCTCACGTTGGACGCTTCGGCCTATATATATCAGCCCCTGCCCCCCCCGGAAGGCATAAGTTATTTGAGAAGACAAAAACCCTAATCATCCTTAGAGCTCCACCATATTTTAGGGCATAGCTAGTTAGGCTAGGTCTAGAGGGAGGCAAGCAAGCTTCACTTGGATTTCTGATCTTATCAAGAGCGTGGTTTGGTATAATCTTTGTACCCATCTTTCTTTTGTATTTCCATTACTTTTATATGTTAGTTATAATTGTTATGTCAATATTAGTATTCATTTTATTCATGTTCTTTATTATAGTGTTCATGGTCTACTTTGATTATATGCTTAGTATAGTTGGATTATCATTATGTTCATGCATAAGTTCGTATGGCGCTTACTCTAAGGATCCATAGGTGGGTGATCGACATTGTGTAAGCGTGGTGCTTATATGCTGTTTACCTGCGGATACACCATATATTCTGGGTCATGTGGTAGATTATGGATGTGACACTCTCGTTGAGTCCTTTGTAGTCCACTCCCCGAATATAGGCGCACGTAGGGTTCGGTTACGAAGGAAGAGCAAGCTCTGTTCTTGATTTTTCTTAGTAACATCTCTTATATGTAGATATGACGATGATCTTAGCAATGATTACTAGGTATAATTGCACTAATCAATATATGCTTTGACTTGCAATTAAGAATGACTTAGGAATTATTCCTCTAATATTCTACCTAACCATGTTAATGCCATAGAAATGAGTACTCTGAGTGATTTATCATTATCATTGATCAATACTCATCTGTAGCTGGCTATAAAATAACTTATTCTGTAGCCACCTTGAGTTACGATAATTACTATGTTAATTTACGAGATTATAGTAACTCAATACTAAGTGATTTACTATAATATTATGGTAAATATCCCCATATGTTATAGAAACCCAACTATCGTAAATATATATTGACATTATCGTAAATTAATATATAAAATTATCGTAAATGGAGATGGCTACAGAATAACTTATTTTATAGTTGGCTACTGAATATACTATATATATATATATATATATATATATATATATATATATATATATATATATATCTTATCCTATGACTTACCCCTATTATGAGTAGAATATTGGTTATGGTTTACTTCTTTTTTAATAGTATAAGTTATCAATACATGTCCATACTAGACCTTCCCTATGGTAAAAATATAAATAACGATATATGGAATACTCTAGAGTAAAATACTACAATGGTATATTATCTGTGCACTTGCAGATCCTTTTCATTCATATATTTATTTATTCTTCCTACTCACATAATTAATAAAGAACTGCTTAGTATTATTCTAGTAGTAGTGCTATGTAGTACCAACAAGTATCTTTGATATCATCACTATGGATAACAACCTAGTAAAATTAGGAGATATAGGTTTAGAATAGGTGGCTATTTTAAGTGTCACGTTAATAAATACCAACAAATATTTTTGATGTTGTTGCTAAGGACTAGATTTAAAACTCTATTCTTAGTAGCGACACTAAAAAATGTCAACACTTCCGCAAGCTCCTCCTCTTCCCGTGCCGCTCCTCCTACTCCTCCGCAACCGGTGTGGGCGCCTCCATGGGGTGGACGCCGGTGCTAGGGCTGGGGCCGATGGCGGACGCCGGCGCTAGGGATGAGCGCCCAAGCCGAGGGCGTACATGGACACAGAGACGGAGATGGAGACACTGTCGAAGTCCGTTCGCTTGGTCCCCTCGATTTGGTGGAATCAGTTGAACCCGCATCTAAGGGGAATATGCCAACTAGGGTCAACCCCGTTCCACACATCCCCCATCCAAACATGGGACTATCCCAGTTCAACCCACAAAGCAAACACAAGGTTAGAGATTCACTCGATCTGCCTCTCCACAAAAACTAACTGCCGGGCACAGAGCCGTGAACTCGGTACGAACAAGAGGAACCAGAGAGGACGGCTTAGGGCTTGGGCTAAGAGCGAGCCTGGCTACGGATGAGCGAAGGCAGCGCACAACGTAGAATGACGGGAAGGGACGAGCGGGACAGGTGTCAAGCGATGACGCGGTGTACGTAGTAGCCAGAGTGGCGTGCGACGCCATCACATGGAATTTTCTTCCGTCGATCTAACTTCTATGGCTGCCTCCTAAATCCTAATAAAGGCGATCTTACACGCTCCACCAGAATCAGAATTGGTGCTTATTTTGATCTAGTTTGGAGTCGCACCAACTAAAATTTAGCTAGAAAACTTTAGCTTGGGTGCTTGGATCCTCTAACTAATTGAAAATCTTAACCATGCTACCCCTCATTAATTCCATTTTTATTGCTTTTGTTTACTGTTGTTGAGGGGGGGGCACGGAGCGATGGCAGCGTGGCTTACGTGCTCTTCTACCTGCTTGCCGACACAGAGACTCTTCTACCTGCTCTTCTACTTTTGTTACATCCAGGGCCACGCTCCTTTAACTCTAGAAAGGTGTGCCCGATGCGCTCTCCGCCACCACGTCGTTCGCCATCGGAGACGACGGTGAGGGGGAGGGGGCGACGACCGCCGCCGCCGCCATGGGGCTTAGCGGCGCCATGTTTGTCGGCCATGCATGGGTCATTGTTGTCTGCCTTGGCGGCTAGGGGTTCACCGTCTACTGTGCTAGCTTCTTCCGGGACGCGACCATCCTCCTCCTGGTGATCGTTGCCATGGCCATCATCGTTGCCACGGGCGAGGTCACCGTCTGGGCTACCATTGGATTTGCCTTGCTCTACCTCGTCTATGTCCTCGCGGTCGTGTTCACCCTAGACTACTGGACCAGACGGCACCACATGCTAGCGAAGGATGACCATGCGGCCACGGCTAGGTTGGAACAACTAATGAGATAATGTGGTCCCCATTAGCTAGGAGCACTTTTAGCTGATTTTAGTTTGGGCTGTTTGGATCTACCACAATTAATTTTAGCCGGTTAAGGTTTAGCTAGTGGATCCAAACATGGCCTTTGTCGGTACGTGTCTTCTCTTGGTACAATCGTGAAGTGCCATGATGAAGCCTTGGTCCAATCTTCACGACGAAGGATCCTGATCTTGATAACTAGCTGTAGAAGAGCCAGATAACTTGCTGCAAACAACGATAACTAGTGCAACTTGACGACACACACAAGGAGCCAACCACAGTCTCTATACGGTAGCCTGAACCAAGGATTCACCCAACCAAACTTATATAACCAAAGCCGATCATCTCTGGCAATCACTCAAACAAAATTGACACACAAGGGCACATATCAACCTTATGTTCACATCACATTGTCTAAGTCCAAGCCATCTTTGCATCAAAAGAACTAAATACCAGCAAACAACATTAATCCATTTAATCATGCTATCAACGAACCACCAAAATCACTTATGGCGCATGCTAGGTGCCATTTTTCTTACAATAGCCACACCTTAAAGTAGTTCAAAGCTAGTTTATTTGTCAAAAAACAAGAAGGAAAACAAAGTCAAGGTTCCCTTTAAGAAAAAGAAGCGTAAGACCAAGCAACTAATTTCTTAAGTGTTACTTACTTATGGACTTGGGTTTTCAAACACTCACATTATATTTCATAGCATATTATGCCGTAGCTCTTGAAAGATGAATCCCCTTGTTATTTTTCATTAGCATATAAATGTCATAGTACACAAATATATGTCGTCCTCGTGGTGATGTATGACACGAAGTCCAAACTTGCTTAGTCTACTAGCTGCACCTTAGAGTAAACAATCATCACCTCTTAGGGCGATGTTGAGAAAACGGAATCACATAGCAAACACCTTGTTAATTGGGGACTCAGTTGTTGAGCTACTAGATGTCCGAAAATCATAGCTCAATAGAATTAGGTCTCCTCCTAATAGCTCATCGAGCTTGGGGGGCTTCCGATAGCATCGAGCTGTGTGAGAGCTGCCTCAATCATGTTCTTCATTTGAATGCGGTCGATTTTATCTTCCTGAATATAGAGACGGTGCAATTAGATTTAGCCATCGCACCTACCTTGATTTGAGGAAGTGTACACATACCATAATATTCTGTCTAATATAACCATATTGATTTTTATTTTTTAAATAAGAATAATATAACAGTCTAGAACGTCATCGCAAAAGAAAACTACAAAAACCATGGAAGATAACTTGGATTTTGAGTTCCCCAAGTAAGCCCATTTGTTACAAATGCCCTCCCCGGCTCAATTATATGTAAGAAAATTAAAAACACTAACTGCTCACGCGTTTAACTGATTTGTTCCATTTTTATCAATTTGGAATCACCAAAAAAAATGGTCTCTGTCAAAATCAAATGCTGCTAGGCGTATAATATTGATGAGGGGTTTAAACGTTGGGACATGACTTTCATTATTTGGAATCAACAAGTGACATATGTTATGTCTAATTTGGAAACTCTAGTCCTTCTAGGATCTGAACTTTTTGCTAGGTGGATAATCTATGAAAATGTCTTTACAATTGACATCTTAGTTCCTAAATGAAGAACTAAGATGTCAACTGTAATGACATGTGAATGTGATGTGCCGAGCGATCCGATCGAGCTGATTAGCATGTGACCATCCGGCCGGCACCAATCGAAATTGTAACTAATAACACAACAAAAAGATGATGCAGATGAAAAGCACAGGGGATGATGGATCATGCAATTCTGAATTAAGTATATGATGATGACGTAGCTTCGTTCCGTCCACCTAGGACTAGTAGCATGCGCCGCAAACGGAACAGAGCCAGGGTCTTGTTGACTCCAACTTTCCACTAAAAACAGGAAACGAATAAAAGCGTACTGGGTGTTGCCGTGGTAAAAGTCAGTTCCAAATTATAATTGGTTTGACTTGTTTTATCCTAAGTTATACCAATCGTCTTATTTAAAAATTTATGCTAAATATTACTTCTTTTGTCGTGGCTTGCTTTATTAATAAAAGTTCTTCAATAATGACTTAAATTTAACTATGTTTGTATAATTTTTTTTAATAAGACGAGCGATCAAATTTAAAATAAAAAAAGTCAAACGAATTATAATTTAGAATGGACAGAGCATGACCATAACTTCTAAAAAAAAATCCGTTGTCATCGTCCGGAAAGAAAAAAAAATAGAGTACTGTATTCCGATTCAATCAAGAATAAATCAAGATGTGATGCCGACGGCGACGTACCTCGACGAATACGGTGTGCATGAGGCAGCCGGCGACGGCGGTGATGTTTGCGGTGATGATCCGGAGCCGGAGCTCCTCGATAGCGCGGCATACCTTGGCCATGGCGTCGCGCCGCTTGCTGCACGTCACGCTCACCACCAGCACGCGGTCGCCCACCTCCGACACGCGCAGCTCCAGGAGCTCTACGGGCGGGGGCGGGGCGGGGGCGGAGCGGACTGCGCCCCGCTGGCGATGGACGGCACGGACTGCGCGCGCTTCATCTTCTTCGTGCGTTCAGCTTCAGCTTGCCCGAGGAGGCCGACTCGACCTCCTGCAGCACCTGCCGCTCCTCCGACTGCAGCTGCTGGATGTACTCGATGGCGTCCTTGATGATCGACGCCTTGTCCATCTGCAAAAGAGAGGAATGAACGTCATCACAAGGCACAAGCTCCTCGCTCCCTCTTGCATTGCGTTGCGTTGCATTGGGCCCATCAGATAATTCGCAGCAATGCAATGCAATGCAATGCCGACCATGGACGACCATCAGTCGCAGTATAACTTATTAACTTGCCTTGGTGATGTTCGGCAATGCCCATCAGATAATTCGCAGCAATGCAATGCAATGCGCGTAGAGCTTCTCGTTGAGCTTGCGGCGGCGGTCGCGCTCCATGAGGATGTTCTAGTTGCCCCCCGCCACCGCGCGGCCCTGGCCTGCCCCCGCCGGAGCCGGCGACGAGTGGGAGTTGGAGCCGTCCGGCGAGCTAGAGTCGTAGCAGGACATGGCGTCCTCCTGCGCCTCCAAGTAGATGCTGCACCCATCAACGGAATGGATGAATCCCCGGCCAGCCGTCAGTCGGCGCATTGTATTGTATCGCTGGCGCGCGGATTTGGTTCGCTCGTACTCGTACCTGAGCTCCTCGTACTCGATGTAGCGCTGCGTCTCCTCCCAATACTTGTCCAAGCTGTCGCCCATCTCGGCGTCCATCTCCGGCCAAGAGCTCTGCCTCCCCTCCGATCCTGTGTTCTGTTTTGTGGCCTTGACTACCTGCCCCCTCGCTCTTTATAGGCTCCGACCTGTGACACTGACGAGTGGGGCCTCGTACATCGACATCGAAGCGGACGCGTGAGCTCGGCTCTTCCTCCCGGTCTCCCCGTCCGCGTAATGACCAGAGAGAGGAAGGAAATAAAGGAAAACGTGAACTCGCCCACCCCGTGGTCGGACCGGCCTGGCAACCCAACCGCTCGCAGACGAGTCCACTCCACACCCACTCCCACTTGCACTCCCCATCGTGAGGACAACGTGCGCGATTTAATTATTATTAATCTCAGTTTTTTCCCTACACGTGAGCTTAATCAATCAATCAAATGGGCAAATTGATCACGTCACGTGCGATGTGAACATCTTGACCTCTTCCATCTTGTGTATCCATCAGATTTGTCGATCAAGCACGGTGACCTTGCATGGTTTGGCCGCATTTGCCTTGGCAAGTTAGCATGCCGCTTGCAGTGAGCACTGTCCGCTGAGGGGTCTGCATCACTTAGCATATATGTTCTCCGTTCTGAATTATATTCCTTTCATTTTAAATTATAGGTCGTCTTACCTTTTTATATATGTAAATTTTGCTTTATATTTAAACATAATATACATCTCTAGGTCACTAGAAACGCAGTAAAAACTATGTACCTAAAAAACATTTGTAATTTGTAATTACTAGATCTATGCACATATATTGCAATGGGATTAAAAAAATCATGAAATGTTTTATATTGTTTGAGGTTCTCAATCAAGCAAAAATCAGGACATAGAGAGTTTATATCTATATGTTGCTAGATATCTTGTATGCAATCTTTTCCAAGCATATTTTTGTTTGACATTTGTCCTTTTTGTATCAAGTGCCGGCTTAACCCTATTTCCTTGTCTGGTGTGAAACCAATATTATATTAAATTTTTGAGCAAAGATTTTAATGTGAACTAGCATTAAATCAAAGCGTGAAATCAGTACAAGAGATGTGGCATTTATTGACTTTTCATCTTTGCCATAATAGATCAAATTCATGTCACATTAGGTTGACAAAAATACCACTACTATAGAAAGCTAATCACCGCCGGCTCCAGAACCCCCATTACCGATGGTTTTGGCCCCTGTTGGTGTAAATCGGCAGTGATCGGCGACCATTATCTCCGCCGGTTGCACACCGATGGTGACTGTATTTTACCACCGTCGGTCCAATGTACCATCCAGCGGTGATGGTATGTTACCACCGCCAGCCCGGCATACCGTCCGGTAGTGATGATGCGTCCATCGACGCCGGCCCGGCGTATCATCCGGCGGTGATGATGCATCCATCGACGTCGGCCTAGCGTACCGTCCGGCAGTGATGATGCCTCCATCAACGACGGCCCGGTGTTCCGTCTGGCGGTGATGATGTAACCATCGACGCCGGGTCAGCGTACCGTCCAGCGGTGAAGATGTAGCCATCGACGTCGGGCCAGCGCGCCATCCGGCATTGACGATGTACCTATCATCGCCGGGCCAGCGTACCAACTGGCTGTGATGATGAGAACATCAACGCCGGTCCGGTGTACCATCCGTCGGTGATGTAGGTGCCAACACAAGCGGTCGATGTGCCCTTCGGCGGTAATGAGGGGCAGCATCACCGCCGCCGCTGTGTTTGTTCCGGCAGTAATATTTTGTCCATTACCGCCGGCGTTACCACTGTGCATCATTATTGTTCATAATATATTATAACACCAACAATACAAAAATTTTATGGCTTACGCATCGCCATCAGCATATATAGACAGAGATAATGTATTAAACATAAATCACCACCGAGACACAAATATCAATACAAAACGACAACGACATACATAATTTTCAACCACAGCGACATAACGTCCAAATCTAACCACGGCGAATATATAGTTTTCAGAACACAAACAGACGTCCAAAATAAAACTAGCATTACAAGGTTAAGAACTGTAGCACCTTGATTAGATAAGGTGATGGTGTTGACGAAATATGGTCGCTAGTCTATCTATGAGTATGCCCATGGTAGTAGATGAATCGGTGGAGGTGCGCGTAATAGGAACTGGATGGTGACACAAGCGCAGAGACGGCGATTTTGACAGGTTCAGACCGTCTGATCGACATAATACCCTGCGTCCTGTGTCTTTTGTGTATTGTATTGAATATGAGATCCATTCGAGGGGATCCCTACCCACCTTATATAGTCTGGGGGTAGGGTTACAAGTCGGTTTAGGTCTAGATCTATTCGGCTATATGGTAAATATTTACAAGGAATACAATATCTATCATATCCGAACAGACCTTCCTTCATCGCCAAGATGTCTTCTGGTTGCCTTGCGGTGCACGCCGATCAGAGCCAAGCACCATAGGCCTTGATCTTATGGGCTGGACCTCCCCTGGTGGTGCAGCCCATATCTATTGCCATGGGTACCTGGGGTTATACCCCACACAGCTAGTCCTCGAGCGCCTTGTATCCGCTGAGCAACACCGTCTTGAACAGGTCTGAGCAGTTTGACGTGAAGCCAATCAGTTTAACCGGTGATCTGAGTAGTGAAAGTCGAAGCCAACCGGTTTAACTGGTACACAGATCTCGGACTTTGCCAAGTAAGGCTTGCTAGAAGGATGTAAGGGGCTCAAGATAAAAATTTGAAAATTCTCCACCTTAGGCGAAGTGTAGCCACTTAGACTCCGTTTGCGAGGAATCATCCATGATTTAGTCAATAAGGAGGGTAAATTAAGAAAAGAGCACTACATTCACCGCTAGGTGAAGTGTAGCCACTTAGTCCTCGAGCCTGCTGGAAGGTGAAGAATGAATCTTGTAGCAGGGTCAAAGAAAATAAATCTAAAAGTTTGTCAACATCATCTGACATGTGCGTATCAAGACATAGACGTGCTACCCAAGATCAGCGCCCTGATCCGAACAGCATGGAGCAAGCTGATAGCACACCGATGAGACATAGCAAGATCTGACCGCCAAGGGAGTCCCCAGCTTAGCTAGCGGGCCCCCAGCGTAGTAGTCGATGAAGCAACGAGCAATTTGAACATCAAGGAGTACCCAGTTTAGCTGGCGATGAAGCGACGAACAATCTGACCAGTCGGTTGGCAACGAAATGAGCACCGAGCAGCCCAACCAACTGGCCGACAACGAAGTGAACATCAAACACCCCGACCAACTAGTTGGCGATGAAGGTCATGAACCTAGTGGTCTGACCAGTTGATCGGCGGAGAAAACAGCGGCGGAGCTTGCTGGAGACATCGACCTTAGGTGAAGTGTACACACTTAGGCTTCATTGGCGAAGTCAGGTGATCATCATCCATGACTTAGTCAAAGAGGATGTTAGTATTGATACATGCGCAGCAAGGTGTAATGTATACATTGTAGTCCCCAAGCCTGACAGTAGGTGAACAATGCACCTGGTGTTAGGATTAAAGAATTTCAACGATCACTTAGTTAAAACAACCAATTCCTAGCTTAGCCGAGCACACAGCTAGTCCCCAACTTAGCTGAAAAACCATTGAGAAGAAAAGATAGTATATTCACCGTAAGATGAAGTATACACACTTAGTCTCCGAGCATGCTGTAAGATAGAGAAACATCTTATAGCAGGATCAAAGAATTAAGTGTAAAGGATGAAGTCCCCATACTTAGCACTGGGCATATGGAGTAAAATTTGATAATATCGAGCAGTAAAATGTGGAGAAAACGGAAAGTGCTTAGCACTGGATTGCTGAGATAGATATACTTATCAAAACCCCTGACATGACGTCCAAGATCAGCACCCTGATCTAGACAGCATGGAGCGCCTTGATATCACACATGACATGCAGCGTCGGCAAAACGTAGTAAGCCAACAGGCGAATCGACAGACGAAGTCCCCAGCTTAGCTGGCAAACCCCCAGCGTAACTGACGATGACGTGACAGACAATCCAACCAGTTGGTTGGCAAAGAATCTAGTACCGAGCATCCCAACCAATTAGTCGGCGGCGAAGTGAGCGCCGAGTAGAAGTGAACGCCGAACAGTCTGAGCAACTGGTCGACGACGAAGTCATGAACCTAGCGGTCCGACCAGTTGAACGGCGGAGAAATTCGAAGGCCAAATGGTGCGACCACCCAGACGATGATCCTACAATACAAATATGTAGGACGGGTAGTACATGATTTAAAAATAAAATATATGAACTCGGTGATGAAGAAAACATAGCGGAGTTTATCAGGAGCAATGTATCGGTGAATTTATATCCTGTAGAGCAGTTTATGTTTATTTGGAGTTTATTCATATTTGTATAAAGGACGAAATCCCCGTGCTTAGCATTGGACATAGGAGTAAAATTTGGAGAGTGCTGAGCACTCAAAAATGGAGAGAGTACTTAGCAATTGACCATGGTGAATTTTGGAGAGTGCTTAGCACTATACCATGGCGAAATTGGAGAACATGGAGAGTGCTTAGCACTATACCGTGGTGAAATTGGAGAACATGGAGAGTGCTTAGCACTATACCATGGTGAAATTTGGAGAACATGGCAAAATTTGGAGAACATGGAGAGTGCTTAGCACTATACCGTGGCGAAATTTAGAGAACGTGGTGAAATTTAGAGAACATGGAGAAATTTGGAGAACGTGGAGACATTTGGAGAACATGGAGAGTGCTTAGCACTATACCATGGTGAGACATGTGGGGCATTCTATCCCAAGATTCTTGTGTATGCTTAGGAATATAGGCATCATCGACGAGCCACTGCCGCCCGCTCATGACGCAGGGAGCTATTGCTCATGCACGTTTAGGTGCTAAGTCGAGGACAGGGCTGCTTCTGGATAACGCAAATGAAAACATGACTGGGCGGTGGCGATGAAATTGCCCAGCCCTCGAGCTTTTATGGCCTGTCGTCATGACGACGATCGCTGTTGTCACAATGCCATTCTTCGCGGCGGTCATCATCGTGGCATGGCGCTGC